GGATTCCCACCACCATACAGAGATGTTTCCAGTCCACGCACTGCACTGCAGGACATATTTAGCTATTACTCAGATAAAAAGTGTTTATGTGTTGCATGCTCATTCTATTCTCAGAGTTCAAGTGCTGAGCATGGCTCCTACAAGACCTGGCAATAATGGCACGATCACCATGTTGAAAGTGGAGAGAGGCAGGACCAGCATCCAGAGCAGCAGCAACCAAGCTGCTTACCATTTTAAAAGCTCTTCAAGACAGTAGAGAATTACAGGTAATGCGGTAAGGACAGATTCAGACATAAAAGAACTCTAAAAGAGTCATAGTGTTGGATAAATGTACATAGGCTTGAAGAGAGAAAAAAAAGAGTATAGAGTTGAAAAAAAGTAAAAAAACAAAGTCTTTAAAGAGACAGAGTACAGTCAGTCATAGATTAAAAGGAGTAAAAAATATGCCACATAAAGATGGACAATTCACAGAGAGTCTGGATTATGTATATTATTGTATTTTCTTTGAATTTTTGACTGTGAAGGAGCTAAGTACAGTTTAAGTAAGTTTCATTGTATGGGCTGCGAAACTAAACCAACAAGGTATCTTGACTTCAGAATTTAGGTCTAAAAAGAGGTTCTTCTTTTATTTCCACAGAGGATGAGAACCTGTGGATTGCTTCTAGACCAATATGGTTTGATAGACTACACTCCCTGGAAGGTCACCGTGAACACCCTCAAAAAATTATTTTGCCCAACTGCTGACTGAGATGAACCTATCACACAGGATACACCATGAAAGACCTGATTAACAGTGCCCCCAAACAGCAGGAATCAGTATGGTCAAATCTACGCCCATATTCCCAAATATTATCTATAAATGTTTGTTTACATTTAAAGGGGATATGATATAGATATGAATAATTTGTTTTGGTATGGATCTTGGTTTATTGATACAAATTTAAGGTAAATTTTGTTATACAGTGTATGTATATTTCTACCCTTGATTAAGATATTGTGTTTGTGTAGTTCATTTAAAAATGTAGTGTATAATTAAGAAATATAGGTTAATAGACAGTCATCTATAATAGTCAAGATTGTAGTCATATTAGTTAGATTTTCCAGACGTATAGAGATATATTTCAGTTAGATAGGTATTCTTCAACTCTTTCAGAGACCTTCAGAATATGGCATTTAAAACTGTTTAAGAACTTAGGACTTTTCTTGACAATGAGACACCTTTGCTCCTGGCAGCACCAGTTACTTCACGAGGAAGATGGGCATCGAAGAGGCTTCTTAGCCACGTGGACAAGAAACTGCTCTTGCCTGGACTGCTTAACTGGACATGCAGGACCCACGGAGAAATGACTACTGAACTTGCCTAAAGGTGAAATGATCATTCGGAGTTCCTCCTTCATGAAAGTCTGCCAGACATTCTGCAGGATACAGAGGAAAGTGACTGAACTGTCTTTGAAATTTCCTGCTTCATGGAAAAGTCTGCTGAATACTACGGGCCTGTAGGCTGAAGATGGATGCCCCAACGGTACAGAAGAACTTTGGATGACTGTCTAGGCAGTGAGATGTCTCTGTCATTTCTAGAGTTTTGGAAGTTGCTTACAATGCACTTCCTGTTTACTTAGGTAATATTATATTCTTCTGGAGTCTTTGATGGAGTTGAAAAATAGATAGACAGTTATAGTTTTCCTTAGTTAGGATAAAAGACCAAGTAGATATAAATATTGTAACTTTAATCTTGCTTGATACCTGTTTTGTTATATGTAATTTTACTATGTTAAAGTCAAACCCTTCCTTTTTATTTAAACAGAAAAGGTGAGGTGAACTGGGAGTCCCCTCTGTGTGTTGAGATTACCTTAATGAATAAAGAAACTGCCTTGGCCTGTTGATAGGAAAGAACTTAGGTAGGCAGGGAAGACAGAACTAAATGCTGGGAAGAAGAAGGGTGGAGTCAGAGAGAAGCCATGGAGTTGCCTCGGCCAGAAATAGATGTGCTGAAACTTTGCTGGTAGGTTACTACCTTGTGATGATGCACAGATTAATTGAGATGGGTTAAATTAAGATGTAGAAGTTAGCCAACAAGAAGAGCTAACGGGCCAAGCAGTGATTTAATTAATACAGGTTCTGTGTGGTTATTTAGGCTCTGGGCGGCTGGGACAAACAAGCAGCCCCTTGTATCAGATAATGACATTCTGATATATATATATATATATATATATATATATATATATATATATATATATCTTACTCAGTCATCATCAGAGAAACCTCTGTTTGCAGTGGATGGGAACAAATAAAGAACTCACAACTGGACAGTGTACACAGAGTAAGAAGCCTTGGAATACACAGTCCTAAAAGAGATGTCTTTATCAAACCTCTCCACTCAAGGCTCAAGGAATATGTTGAAGAGGAGGCAGAAAGATTGTGAGAGCCACAGGGGAGGGAGGACACCAAGGAAACAGTGACTTCAAGATACAACAACTGACACACATATGATCTCACAAAGGCTGTGGCAGCATGGACAGAACCTATACAAAGTCCCAGTCAGATATGAATCCATCACTGAGAGGACAAAGTGGACATGATCTCCCATCCCTAACCAAGAAACTATCTCCAGCTGACAACAGCTTGCAATGGCAAAATTAGTTTTCTCCAATAGAGTCTCACTGGGTATATAAACCATGTTTGAGGACAGGCCCCATGCCCAGCAGTAGACAGCCAACACTAAATTGGTGTGGGAAGTCCTTCTGTATATGTGTTGCTCTTATTGGTTAATAAAGAAGCTACTTTTGACCAATGGCTTAACAGAATATAGCCAGGCAGAGAGAGAGAGAGAGAGAAAGAGAGAGAGAGTAAGCAGAGTCATTGAGACACCATGTAGCCACCCACAGGAGACAGACACCACACTGGAACCTTGCCGGTAAGCCACAGTCATGTGGTGATACACATTTATAGAAATGGGTTAATTTGGGGGCTGGAGAGATGACTTAGTGGTAAAGAGCATTGCCTGCTCTTCTAAAGGTCCTGAGCAATTCCCGGCAACCACATGGTGGCTCACAACTATCTGTAATGAGGTCTGGTGCCCTCTTCTGGCCTGCAGACATATACACAGACAGAATATTGTATACATAATAAATAAATAAATATAAAAAGGAAATGGGTTAATTTAAGATATAAGAGTTAGCCAGAAATATGCTTAAGCTATTGGCCAAACAGTATTGCAAATAATATGGTTTCTGTATGATTATTTTGGGTCTGAGCTGCAGGGAATGAACGAACAGCCTCCCTCAACAAATAGGCGTGCCAACATGGTCAACTATATCCACATAAGACAAGGGATTCTAGACACAAAATAGCAGAGTTAAGCATGGCATTTTGGTAGTAGCATTTTCTTGGGTGGACTCTGTTTGTTAGAAGCAAGCTGAGGCATAACTCTTTTAAGAGAAGGCTTCCTGACTCAGCAGTAGCAGCAAAACCTACATGGCTTCATTAAGAAGGCTTCCTGGTTCGTGCAAGTTGCAAGAAAAGCTCTGACTCTTTTGGGAGGTCCGGCTACAGAGCATTTAAATGGGGTTTGTGAGCAGAGTACTACAAGGTGCTTAATGGCAACAGAGAAATACTGTGACCTGACCCTGGATCTGGGGCAGAGAGAATGGCTTCAGAGGCAGTGAGCATGCCTCTGCCACATTGGACAGGGCAGAGCCAACAAGCAGTGCCAAGAAGTTGGTCCTAGCCACTCCTGCTATTTGTAATTTTTCTATGTTAAAGTTAAAACCTTCTTAAAGAAAAAGGGAGGTGATGCATGCTGTGAATGTTTTATTGACATTGGTTAATAAAGAAGCTGCTTTCAGTCATTGGATTAACAGAATATAGCCAGGCTGGAAGATATAATGGTTCCTCAAAATCTTAAACTACTATTTAACTGAATAATTTCACTATGAGTTTTACATTGCAAGGAAATGAAAATAGTTTTAAAGAGACACAGGTACTCTCACATTGATTGAAAATTCAGGAGAGCCATGAAATAGAAACAACTTTGGTTCCTATCAACCAATGAACAGAAGAAGACCTGTTTATCAACCAATGATCAGAAGAAGACCATGTACTACATACAAAATACTACTTATTCTACCCAAAGAATAAAATTCTATTGTTTGTCACAAATGGGTGGTATACAAAATAATAAGTGAAATAAGTGAGGCAGAGAAAGTCAGGTACTGTATAATATCAATTATATATGCAAATTGAGGATAGAAAAAATGGTTATCAGAGGCTGAATAAGATTGGGTTACAGAAAAGTTTGGTAAATTAGTATTAAATAACAGTAAGTTTGGAGCAAGAATTTCTGGTGTGTTATAGCACAAAGGAGTAACTATAGTAACAGTAAAGTATTATTTACTTCTAAACACTAAAAGAAAGGGTTTTTAGAACATTAATATATCAATGTTTGAGTATATATGTGGACATTGATTTAAACATTAAACAATTCAAGTAGCAATATTATATTATCCAAATATTATGTACTTTTAAAGTTTAATGTTATTAATAAGATAAGAGCATTAGCAAACATGTAGAAACAGGCTCTAGATTCTACATGTGTGATCCAATAAAATAACCAGAATTCCAAAGTACACTAGGTGCTAAGTAACATTATCCTCTAAAACATTCCCCAGAATCTGAAGGCAGAGCAGTAGCAAGCTGCCTGACTACCACCCTCCCTCACTCACTCTAAGACACAGTGTACTCACATAAGGTAAGAGATTTATATTCATAAAGCCATTACATTTTGAAAGCAAGTCATTTGTTGTTTTGAGACAGGTTCCCACTATGTAACTCAGGCTGGCCTGGAATTTACTCCATAGACAGGTTAGTCTTGACTTCATAGAAATCTTGCTTCAGCTCCCAAGCACTAGGAAGCTGCATGCTTGGATTAAAAGCATGTGTCACTATGGCCAGATCAAGTCATTTTAAGAAACCATTCTAATTAAAAAAAAAATGATTCTTACCTGTGGTGTTGTTAGGGTTGTAGTGCTACTCATTGTATCTTCCATTTGTTGTGTTTGAACATCCAATGTTTCAAACTGATGTTCAAATTTGTCCATTAAGGCAGAAATCTATAAAGATATGGTCATAAGAAAAATGTACTCTGAAAAGATGCTATCTGTAGCATCAAGTAATAATGATAATTGTTTGTTTTTACCTTTTCAAGGTTCATACTCCTCAATGTAGCATCCATAGATTTAACTACACCTGCCATGGATTTTGTCACCTATTTAGAAAATAAAACTGATTTAGTAACATGCAAATTTTATAAACTTTTAAATATATTATCTATATGTCAACTTAGGAAACTTGCCTATTACTGTCTTTAACAGTAAAATCACATTCTGTGTCTAGGTCTAGGTACTGTCTATTTTAGATTATTGATACTTCTTAGCAGACATCAAATAAAACAGTTGAAAAGTCCACTGCCAAAATCTTTTTCCTTACTAAGTCTAATTTTCCATGAAGTCCTTTATTAACACCATATAATACCCTGTAATACACGAATTTGCTATTTTTGTAAGTCTTCCTACTCTCATTAAATGCCAGTCAAGTCTTACCTTGCCCATTGTTACTGCAGTTTGAACTCTGGCTGCCACAGCATCAACCCTAGCACTCATTCTCAAGAAATTGATTGCCTGGTTTTTCTGACGGATTGCATTTTCAGCATGAATTCTTGCAACTTCTGTATTGCCTTTCTGAATGGCCTGTTTTAAGCAGAAGTAAAATAGTGTTGAAGAAAAATAGCAAACCAAGACACTGGTTAAGGCAAAGAACAAAAGTACAGCTATTTTTAAAAATTAAATGCTACTAAATAAACTATAGTCTATAAGAGGTTTTAATTAGCCTTTTGGCATCTAATTATTATAACAGCTAAATAATAATTTACAATCCTATTCTCTTTTAATCTCATGGTTAGAAAATACACATGTATTAACAGTTTAAGAAATTAGAATATGCTGGACATGGCACATGCTTTTAATCCTAGCATTTGGGATGCAGAGGCAAGCTAACTCTGAGTTTGAGACCAGCAAGTTCCAGGTAAGCCAGGGCTACACAGTGAGACTTTGCCTAAAAAATACAATAGAAAGAAACCAAAAGGTAAAATTGTTCCTAGTTATATCACCATGTTATTTTCATTGTTATTATTTTAGTACAAATTTTCTTAATGTATAAATACATTTATTACTAGTTTGTAACAAAAGCAAACACATAGAATATAGTTTCGAATCTTGTTTTCTTTCATGCTAAAAATATCACTTTAAGTTAAAAGCATACTTATCTACATCATTGTTTCTAAGGGTTGCATCATACAAAGGTCACTGTAGTAAAAGAATTATTGGTCATACATAAAATGATTCTAGATGTTACACAGACATTAGGTAGTTTCTATATGATTTTATTGAACAGGCATATGAAAGTGCTGTGTAACAGGAATCCAGCCTTTTCCTGGTATAACAATAAGATTAGGTATACAGCTAAAAGAAAATAAAATTAATTTAAAGAAAAAAGCGTTAAATAAATAGTTCAGAAAACACAACAAAGTGAAATATTATAGAAAGTACAGAAACTCAAGAGTGAGATCCTAATTTTTCAATAAAATAAACAGCAATTTTAAAACTCTTCTAGTATATATAGTTTTACACGCTTTCCAACTGTTTCTATAAGACAAATACCTGGATATTGACTACTGGATGCAGATGTATATTTGAATTTAATTATACTCCCAATGATGCTTATAACAAGTTTCACCTTCTAGAATATTGTTATTGTTTTATTCACAGGTAATCAATGTAGAATATTATTATCGTAGTCCATTATGATCTAAGAAGTAAAATGTACCTCTCCATGACATGGAACCCATACCTCACATTGTTTGGGTAACCAAGAACCTAAGACTAGATAGGCCGATGACCTAGGGGAAAACCAAACACTACTGCTCTACTAGAGGAATGTAGCAATAAAATGTCTGCCAATGATATTCTGCTATACTCATTGATCAGTGCCTTGCCCAGCCATCATCAGAGATGCTTCTTCCTGCTGCAGATGAGAACACATACAACGACCCACAGCCAGAGATTATTCAGAATAACAGATTTTGGAATACTTGGCCCTAAACACGATGTCTCAAATCTCTCTAGTGTTTAGAGAATCCCACAGAAGAGGAGGTAGAAAGAGTGTAAGAGCCATAGGAAATGCCGGACACCAAAGAAACTAGGCCTTCTAAACACAATAGGACTGACTTACATATGAACTCACAGAGACTGTGGCAGCAATACGAGATCAGCATGGGTTTGTACCAGATGGGATCCTAGAACAGACAGAAGTAGACAGCTCCCCACCAGGTCCAATCAGAACTTAGTGCCAATTGATATCCACTTGCAAATGAAAAATTAGTATTCTCCAAGGGAATCTCATTGGGGAAAGAAAAACCCTCTTAAGGGAGGGTGGGCTGTTAGGAATCTGGTTCTTGAATTTTCAGACTCCAATAGGGACATTTACCATAGTGAGAGAGACATGAGTGAACATGTAAAATATAAAATGGTTCATATCTTAGCTAGAGAAAAAGAAAGCAGTCCTGTGGATATAAAGCACAGAGGGTGGAAAATCAGCAGTGAGGAAACTCTGTATAAATAGGTTACTATTAACACACCAGGAGCGCCAACACAACTGAAGTCTACAACAGGAGAAATCAAAAATTAAAAGTTCAGTAATAAATTGGATATGGCTTTGGAGCCATTTTAAAACCGTGACTTTTTGCTTAGAGGGAAGAGATAAAGACATAGTTCTGATCTGAGCACTGACATGCTATGACTTCTCTTAAAATACTTCCTCTGGCTGCTGGGTTAAGATTACGTTTATGGGGGTCGAGGGGTGGAGCTCTGTACTTTAGTGGTAGAGTCCTTATCTAATAGGAGTAATGTTTATTGGGTTTCATTCCTAGCACTGGGAAAAAACACCTCTAAAACAAAAGCATTATGGGAACAGGGTCAAAATAAGGAGGCCAAAACAAAGAGGCTAATCGGAAACTTGTTTGCAGTAAGTGAGGTTAAGATAACCTGGGTAAGAAGTGATCAGATTTTAAATACCTTAGAGAAGCTAAATAAGAAGATGAACCTGATGAAGATTATTTAGCTATCCACCAGGAGGTAGGAAACAGACAAGAGTCCCAGAACCCTCATCTGGCGATGGATGGAGATGGAGGCGGAGAACCACGTTGGAACACTGGACCTAGCTCCCTAGGTCCAAATAAGAGGCAGAAGGAAAGAGAACGTGAGCAAAGAAGGCAAGGGCAGAGGAAACCTTCATCCGACGTTGGATGGCGATACAGATGGAGACCCATATTGCAACACCGAACTGAGCCCTCCACGGTCCAAATGAGGAACAGAAAGATGAAGAAAATTAAAAAAGTAATCAGGACTGCGAGGGATGCGAGCACCCACTGATACAAGGGAACTGATATAATGAGAGTTCACCAAGGCCTGTTGGACTGGGACTGAACGAGGACGTGATCCAACCAGATTCTCTGAATGTGGCTGGCCCGGAGCCTTTTTGAAAAGCCATTGACAATGACACTGGGACTTGCTTCCTCTGCATATACTGGATTTTGTCGCTCCAGTCTGTTTGGACTCTCACCTTTCCTGGACCTGGAGGGAGGGGGGAGGAACTTGAACTTCCCACAGGGCAGGAAACCCTGACTGCTCTAGGGGATAGAGAGGGAGGAGGAGAGGGAGTGGGGGGAGTGGGAGGGTGTTGGGAGGAGGGGCTGAAATGGAAACTTTTATAATTTAATAAAAAAAAAAGAAAAAAAAAGAAAAAAAAGAAAGATTTTGCAAGGCTCAGATGTAGTGTATGAAACAAGAGGTTAAACATAATGCCAGTCTAAGACTATTTGCTTTGTCTGAAAGGTACACCAGGAATTACAGGTACACCAGGAATGCTCTACTGAAGGATGTCCAATAAGGAACCCTGTTTCAAGTTTGACCATCCAAGTAGAAAGAATAAAGCAGTTGAAAATAGGACTGTTCAGGTCAGATATACAGGCTAAGCTAGAATTATCTATCACCATGCAAATAAAGCTAGAAGACTAGGTTAACTCACTTCTGGAATCAGTATAGGTTGGAAATCACAAAAGAAAACAACAGTAGTAAAATGTGCTTGGATGGGCAATGGTGAGTGTGGTTTCCTGAAAGCCAAAGCACAGAAGTGTTTGAAGGAAGGAGTACTGAACACTGACAAATACTACTGATGGTTCTAATAAAATGTGGATTGAGAACTGATTGGACTGAGCAGTATAAACATCCTTGGTTTCTACTGAGGTAGAGGTCTAAGTGTAAATGAACAAAAGAAAAAAACAACAAAAACTGAAGTAGACAGAATTAGAGTTAACAAAATTAGGGGGCTATTTGAAAGGGTTTTTCATGTAATGGAAAAAAAGCAAGAAAAGTATTGGTGACAGAAATTGGTTGTCAATTGTTTGCCTAGTAGCAAAACCAAATAAATAAACAAAACATCTCCCCCATCCCCAAAAAAACCTCATGCAAACAACAGCAAAAACCACAAGAGTACCGTGAGACAGAAGAGGCTCTCACACAAAAGCTTCAAAAGATTTAAATAAATATGGTTGTGTGCTAACACAATGTATTTGGCACACAGGAGAAAACTGATAATGTAAAACAGAGTGCTATCTGAGTAAGGATACCTGGAACAGGCCTTAGCAGACAAAACAAAATAAAACAAGAAATAGAAAACAACTCGAGGCAAAATATAGAATTCAAAAGTATCTGCTGAATATGACCAGCAGGAAGAAAATAATAATTTTAGTAAGAACAATTTTAGTGGAGTAGAAATGAATTCCTGGCTACATCAAGTTGGACTATGAGTAAGAAAGAATTTGAAGATATGTGTCCTCTTGACTAAAGTTCTGCCCTCTGCTCCAGACTTGTGTATTTGCTTATGAACATATTGTTTCTACTTAACTCACTTCTCAATTCTCCCTAGTTAAATACTTGACTTGAGCTTTTTTTATACACAAAATATTACCTGGTTCTGATCCATTATTATTTTATTTCAGTAAAGAACTCATGCTCTTTTATAAGCCAGAATCCAGAGTCACTGTTACTTAATGTTTTAGCTCACTTGGTGTCCACAACTGGTCTACATGCAAAATATATCTTGAACTCGACTAGGTCTTACCACTTCTGTCACTCATACCCTAAATCAGATCACATCAGTTTCTGTCTGCCTTCTCAGCTGCTGCCCCTCTTGCCCCACCTCTCAGCTAGTTTATTTGTATCTACCATTGTACTCTTCAGCCATTTCTCCCTGGGTATCTAGCCATAGCGGTCATTTCAAACAGCATATTATGACTGTGTCCTTTGGTTTAAAGTTTCCAAGTGCCCTTACAGCACACCTAATGTAAGTGCATAAAGCCCACCTAGAGTCCTAGAAGGCACTATCTGATGGATTCTGCCTACATCCAGCTTCATCTCCTTACTGTGGTCCAGAACACAGTGAGTTTCTCAGCACAAATAGCTCACCCTTACCTTCAGGTTTAACTATGTCCTTTTACTGGACATAGTTTTCACCCATGTATTTGCAGGACTGGTTCCTCTTAGTCATTCACTTTAAATGGCATTTATTTTCAAGGGCCTATCCTTAACTACTGAGCTGAAAGTACTTTAGTCCACCCTGTTACCCCATTAGA